AAAAAAACTATATTTAGGTATACTATAAATTCTATAAATACAATAAAATAAAATACAGCTTTTTTTTTTTCTGGTACTGAAGATTGAACTCAGGGGCACTTAACCACTGGGCCACATTCCCAGCCATTTTTGTATTTTATTTAGAGACAGGGTCTCACTGAGTTGCTTAGCATCTCATTAAGTTGCTGAGGCTAGTTTTAAACTCATGATCCTCCTGCCTCAGTCTCCAGATCCTCTAGGATTACAGGCATGTGCCACTATGCCCAGCCAAAATACTAATTTTGTTTTAATAATTGCCCATGATACTGCAAATAACAGACTAAAGCGATTTCTTTATTAACTCAAAGAAAAGTTTATAATATACTTGTTTAGTTTTCACAGAAAGTAGAAAAGATCAAGAAATGTCATGCTAATTATGGGAGAAATTTTTCTATTTTTGAAAAATTTGTTATGCTGTTGCCTTTATATGAGACTTTTGAAAGAAACAAATATAGATTTTCTTCCTTATATTCAATACATGATATTATCATGTTATGTTGTATACAATTTGTTGTAGTTTTTGCATAATTATCAAAATGTTTTGTTAAAATGGTTTTTACAATGATTATTATGTTCCAAACACCAAGTTAGGCTCATAAATATATTATTTTAATTAATCTTCAAAACAATCTGTAAAAGATAAAACATACCTATTTTTATTTTGTAGGCAAGACATTAAAAATCTTAGACTAAGGGATTTTCGGGATGCACACTCTATTAGATATATAAATTGACTATCTATACCATGAAGGATAGATTTGATGACCATAGAAGTAAGTAAAATGTAAAAATATAATTCAGTATCACAAATTATGGTGACCATTTATGTGAAAGTAAATATGTCTTAGTCTCTAGTGTGGATAGATAATTGGCTATATTCTACTGTTTTTAATTATCCATGATATCCCCTACCTCATGAACTTTTTATTAGATTTATGTTCATCCAAACTTTAAAACAAAATTACCCCTTTCTGAAATCTTCCAGAACACATTACTGATAACAACAGTTTGGCTGACACTATTACATAAACACTGAATAAATATTTATTCTGTGCTATTTATCCATCCTGAGTTTTGTCTCTTGAGGTTAGGAATTACACCTCTTTCATCCTTTAGTTTCTGGTATCTTGACCATATACTATTGAATTAAATTATTGACCAAAAATGGAGAGATAGTATGAATAACTACACTTTTCTGATTGTTTCTCTACAACATAATACCACAGGTTTTTATGCATCTGTAAAATTTATACATTTATAAACAAATTATTTTAATTTAAATTGACATGTGAAAATATCAACATGCTGTGCTATATAAACCCACACATATTTTAAAAAGAAACAGCACACTGAATTAAACTTATTTGAGAAGCACTGATACCCACCAAAAATGATCTAAGTTACCTTTCAGTGTTTTTCAATCTGTGTGTCTTTATTTCTAAACAGTATTTAAAATATACAATCGTTGAAAGTTAAAAGCACAGAGGCAGAAATTGTCATGGTAATATCTTACTTTCAAAGAACTTTGGATAGAAGTGAGATTAAGCTACAAAAGGCAACATGTCTGTGTGTGTGTAGGGGGGTGGTGGTGTGAATGTGTGTGTTTATGTGTGCGGGAAAGAGAGAGAGAGAAAGAACGAGAAAGTCAAACAGAAAGTGGATATTCAACTGGAGTAAAGAGGATCCCTGAGATGTCCAAGTCCCTGTAATCCCTACCAGATTCTTTCCATTCATCATCAACATACCTTCTTACTCTGCTAGAACTACCTTTACTTTTCAGAGACTTTGAAGATTACAATATAACCTTTATTTTTGTTTGTGTCAATCAAAAATAAAGGTTATATTGGAGTCTGGGACTTCCCAGTGATTGTTTTACCACTGCATTCCCATTCCCATTACTCTTAAGTCACTTTATCAGTGAGGCTTTCCCCAACCATGACTGAAAATAGAGCAGTCATAAATATTCCCTATCTCACATTTATGATTCATGTACATTCAGAAAGTTTATCACCATTTGTCAACACATACATTTTATTTATTTTTAGTTTGTGGGATG